CTCTTATCCTTTCCTTCCCTTCGCATCACCTCCTGGACTCTGTCTCACTCCTGTTCTCTGGATGTTAGTGGGTTAGTGTTATGTCCTAACACCGTTCCTTGCACCCTTGTCCCAATATAGCAACACTGTGGCCGGACCCCTCACTGTCACCCTTCCCTCTGGTCTTCCTCTTTTAATGTCAGTCTGACTGCCATCTTGTCTGCCTCCTCTCTGTCTCACATACACTGTGACCTGGTTTCAGATGCAGATGTAAGAGCTACAGATTAGAAATATCTTTCAAATATTCTGATTTGCTGCTCAAAACACATTTATTATTATTATTATGTTGAAAACAGCTGAGTAGAATTGTTCAGGTTTCTTTGATTAATAGAAAGTTCAGAAGAACAGCATTTATCTGAAAAAATTTTTTTTTTGTAACATTATAAATTACTTTATCATCACTTTTGATCAATTTAAAGCATCCTCGCTAAATAAAAGTATTAATTTCTATCATTTCCCAAAAAATAGAATAAAAAATAAAATAAAAATACTGACTCCAAGCTTTTGAATGGCATATGTATAATGTTACACACGCTTTTTATTTCCTATGAATGCTGATCTTTGGATCTTAATGGAGCCGCTTTCAAGCCGAGAAATATCGCTGGGAGGCCGAACGAGACGAGCTGAGGGTAAAAAACGAGTTTTTTTTTTTTAAATCGCTTGTTTTGGTCTCTTCCAGACGGATTCCTTGAGGAAGAGCTCATTTACAGATAAGACGCAGGAAGAAGTCACGATCTCCTGCTATTATCGTTGATTAGATGTAGTTTTGTGATTACATCGGGTTTAAGTATTCATTAAAACAGTAGCAAATGTAACTGTAACAATTATTCTTTTGTTGAATACCCATACCTACCTTAGGATAGGAATCAGGGCTGGACTGGGACAAAAAATCGGCCCTGGCATTTTTTGGTCCAGGCGGCCCATCACCACTTTTATATATTTATATAGGCGGAGCAAAATATTTAATCGCTCCGTCTATAGAGCATTGTGATTGGATGTTTATGCTGTCAATAACAGGAGACAAACCAATGGGCCACTGGCTGCTCGCTGTCCCTGCGGGATGGTTTTCGGCAAAAAAACATTCTGTCGGCCCCTTAAGTGCGTCGGCCCACCGGGAAAATGCCCGGTATGCCCGATTACCAATCCAGCCCTGATAGGAATTGATTCTGGATCTGATTCATCTGAACGATTCTAATTCTTTTAGTATTTTTTGGGGGGGGAAAAGACAAATCAAATATACAATTCATGTTGTATTTACTGCTGTCAGCAGTTTGTTGCCAATGAAGAGATCAGATTTCAAAAGCAGATAAATGCAATACATTAACTGGTCGTAACTAACGTTATATACAAATAATAAACGAATTTGGTAACACATTTGATTAAAACAAAACTCATATTGCGTATCTTTAACTACACGTTGTCATTTGAACAACAAATGAACAAGTCCACACGGATTGAAATCTGATTGAAATATCACGTGTAAGTTTTTGCATAATTTCGAGTAGGGCATGACCAAAACAATAAAGGTATAATTCACCCAAAAAGGAAAATTCTGTCATTTACTCCCCTTCAAGTTGTTCCAAACCTGTACGAGTTTCTCTTTCTGTTGAACACAAAAGAAGATATTTTGAAGAATGTGGGTAACCAAACAGTTGCCGGTCCCCATTGACTTCAGTAGTTTGGAAAAAGAAATGCAATGGAAATCAGTGGAAACCAGAAACTGTTTGGTTACCCACATTCTTCAAAGTATCTTCTTTTGTGTTCAACAGAAACTCATACAGGTTGAGGGCGAGTAGATGATAATACAATTTTAATTTTTGGGTGAACTGTCCCTTTAACTTGCAGTTCAGAAAGTGAGCTAAATGAATTCAGGAACTGAAACCAAATGTGTGTTTTGATTTTTTTATAAAAATAACCAGCTTGTTTAAGAGTCATCTGATACGCAAACAAATTATATTGGTGGAGTTTTATGTTTTTGATTTACTAAAAAACTGCTCATAAGAGTCATTTGTGTATGAATTGAACTAGATTGACTAAAAAAAAAACAATTGTATTTCTTGCTTCATTTCTATTCAAACATGACGAAAGGAATAAATTGAGGTTTAGTAAGTGAGTCAGTTAAATTCAGTAAATGCTTCGAGTTACTGGTAAATGTTTTTAATTGGATGATTTTTGATTCACCTAGAAGCATTATACAAACCATTCGTTGTCAAGTTTAGTTAGATTCGCTAAAAGAATTGGTTCATACAAGTAACTTAACGAATTGGACTACAATGGTTGTGTACTTTGTACGATTTTGTGTTTTATAATTATCGAAAATAATCAGCTGACAAGAGTCATTCATTCCGAAATCAGACTACACTGATATTTTAGCTTGATTGATTATAGAAAATATTTTATACAAGTCATTTGTTTAGGAATCGGACTGCATGGGTTGTGTACATTGTAGGCTTGTACGTTTAATTCTCCAAAAAGGTTTATAAAGTCATTAGGAAATACGTTTTACTGATTATTTTTTATTATTTAAGAATAGAGGTCACCTAGGGTTGCACAAACAAGCACTTTTTTTGGTCTCCGTACAAAAAAGCCTGTTGTACAGTACACTTAATTTCCTGTCCTTCGCACAATTACAATGCTATTTCTGTTGTTGTTTTGCTTCTTTCAGAAACCTGGCATTAAGTGCAAGATAATAGAATCAAGGCAGTTCAGAGGCAGTAATGTAAAAGAGCTCCGGCTGACATTTATTTGAAATTTACATTCAAATAGATGTTTTAATAATAATTGACTTTGTGATGTCATATGACCCTATTGACTGCTACTTCTTTTGTAAATTGTGAAGCTTCTGTTCAAGGCATGCCGTAATGCAGTCCTGCTGGAGAATTAAAGCAAGTTTTTTATTTTTTTCTCCTCAGTCCCAAGAGAGCCGATCTGTGTGTCTAGCACGATTTCGTCATTTAGTGCTATTACTTGCATCGTATTACGGCATCTGAGAGATGTATAGCTCAAGTTATTTTATATGAAACCTAGAAACATAAATTCTATTAGGAAAGCTTGCACTCACATCAAGAACATATTAGAGAGCGGAGAAAAGCTGTTTCAACCGAGGATTAGGGATTTGCCCCGAATAAAATTTGCTTAAACCGACTTTTTTGAGTCTGGACTCCACTGGCCCAGTTTGCAGTAGATCTTGGCCTGAGAAAAGCTTTGCAATTAAGTGACCCCATTCAAACAGTGCCTGTAGTAGATTACATAAGGAGTTGCCAGTGTGCTCTATAAAAGGATAGGCTTTGTGGCTCTCGTGGATGTGTTCTTCTTCTGTCAGGCCTCTTCTGGACATGCCCATGGAAATGTGCACAGACTTCAGGGACCAACTGCTATGTTTTCCATGTCTCACACACACACACACACACACACATTGTTTTTGACTCGGCCTATAAAAGGATGGTAAGGGACAGTTGTAGTGTGAGAGTAGCTCCACTCCTCCTTGGTTTCCCCTGCCGTGGGGCATCACATTCCCTGATGTTTTTATGTGGGACACCTGTGCCATTGTGTTTCCTTTGTGGCAGGCAGGACAGGTATGACGTCCTCTGATGCAGGATTATTGTTAACTAAAACTATAAAATATAAATATTAATTGAAAAACAATGTTTTTTTAATTGTTGCCTTGGCAACTAGCTGAAATGTCCATTTTTTTACTGTAAGTAAATACAAATGAAAAATTAAACGTATAATAAAAGTCATATTTAAAATAATAGTAAGTAATAAAAATAATAATAATAATGACAAACACATAACAAAGTTGTTAAAATTAAAGGAATAGCTAGTGCACCCAAAAATGAAAATTTGCTGAAAATGTACTCATGCCCAGGCCATCCAAGATGTAGATGAGGGGTTTTAATTAATTTTTTATCTGAACAGATTTTAATAAATGTAGCATTGTATCACTTGCTCACTAATAAATCTTCTGGAGTGAATGGGTGCCGTCAAAATGAGAGCCCAAACAGCTGATAAAATCATCACAATAATCCACAAGTAATCCACACCACTCCAGTCCATCCATTAACATCTTGTGAAGCGAAAAACTGTATGTTTGTAAGAAACAAACCAATCATTAAGACATTTTTAAGTTAATATCATTGTAGGGCCTTATGATTTCCGCAATGCGGAAAACACGGACGGAATCGCGGAATCCAATCATAAAAATTAATTTTACTGTATAACGCGGAATGTCACGGAATTTGTCAAAGTTTGGATGAATTAATAAAAGGTAGGTCAGTACACTTGTCAAAATGCGATATGGGCTAGTGTCTGTAAATATTAAGCCACAAAAAGACTATTTAAATATGAATCGTGCATGTTCTGCGTGTGAACGAATGGCGCACTTCACATACTTAAGCTACACATGTGAATAAATCTGAAGCGTGCATGCGTATAAATAAATGAGGACATAAATACATGAGCAAAATCCCCAGAACTGCTCTGAGAGTCACTTCATGAGTATTTTACCATTTCATTTTGAGAAAAACTATCTTCATGCCATACACACAGAAACTTAAAGGTCCTTATGGCAATCCGTCAAAATAAAAGTTTGGTTTAACTTGAAGAAATTGTGTCAGAAATATATTATTATTGTGCAGTAGAATGTACGTAATACTACTAGTATTACTAATACAATTATTACAAGTTTGTTTTAACTTACATTTGATTAAAATATTATATGCCTTCTTCTGATAACCAGAAAAAATACAACACAGAATTTCTGAAAAAAACAAAACCTTTCACGGTGCTATTGTAAAAATAAATTGTAATAAATTAAGTTATTTTATGCATTCAAATAATTAGATTGATTATTAAAATTTAATTAAACCATTAAAATGGAATCCAGAAAAATTAAAATGAAAAACGCTGAATTTTGTAACAATAAGACAAACACATTTCATAGGGCCCTAAAAATGCTATTATTGTTCAGCTTTTACTAAATTGATGTTAAATTGTATAAGTTCCATGATTTTAATTAATTAATTAATTAAATTATTAATTTGAAATTCACCTATTTCATTGCTTCTAGCTAAATGCTCAGTCCTCTATCCATAATTTTGCTTTCTCCATGAAAAAGTCTTGTCTGAATCAGGAGAGAAATATGCACAGATCAAGCACTGTTAAAAAGCAAAAACAGTCCAAAACAGTTCTAAACAAATATGTGGGTGGATGTAGATGTGAGAAGACAACAGTGGATGGACTTTTTCCACTGGTGGAAGAGTTATTATGGATTATGGTATTTTAGGCAGAAGCAATGGTTTTAAATGCCTTGATGGATTTGTTTCTTACAAACATGCAGCTTTTTACTTAATGTTAACTGATGGACTGGAGACATGTAGACTACTTGTGGATTATTGTGATGTTTTTATCAGCTGTTTGGGCTCTCATTCTGACGGCACCCATTCACTGCAGAGGATCCATTGCTGAGCAAGTGATGTAATGCTAAATTTCTCCAAATCTGTTCCAATCAAGAAACAAACTCATCTACATCTTGGATGGGCTGAGAGTGAGAAAATGCCAAAATATAAAAATAAATGCAAAATCAAAATTCTAAAAACTGCATGAATAATTACTGAAATAACATTGCTTTACACAGTTTGCTAGAAGGGCCTGATCTTTTTGTTTAGTATTTTAATGTGGTTTAATGAGCTGAAGATATTTTAATTATTCAGTAAGGTGTGAGATGCCATGCTAGCTAGTGAAAATTGATATTGCAGGGTCAAAGCACAAAGGCTGTAGTTTAATTAAATAAATTATTCAGTTTCATAGTGATTCATCTGCATCCAGCTCATTTACCATAGCACATTTATTTGTTTGACAGAAAACCTCCAGAAGCTTCATGGTTTAACATTTGAAAATGGAAAAATAGTAACTACTATTGTCTTTTAATTTTGCAGTTTTACTATACATTTTTTATTTGATTTAATTTTAAATTTAATTTCTATAATTTTTATTAACTGCTCATTTTTTTTTATTTGACATGATAGTAACATTAGTGCAATATATTTTTCATAATCATAATAAAAAAATATAGTTATTATTATTATTTTGTAGTCATATCAAATAGGTCACCATCCGTGGGAAAATGGCAAGAGATTTAAAACAACAACAAAAATCCTCTCTGTTGATTTTATGATTACTGAAAGAGGTTTGAGTGGTAATAACTACAATTAACACTAACTATCCATTTTATAATTAGCCTTGTGTAGTCAAGAAATATTTATTTAGCACTGTTCGTCATTATTACAACTCTTGCATGTAGTTTAATACTGTAGTCTAATACTGATGTTTGCCACATAGTCAGCAAATTATTCATGATGTGAATCTTTACACAAGAGATGCACATCAGTCTAACAACAGGTAGCTTCACCTGTCAACTCCCTTAATGTCAATATAACATTGTATTGTCAATAAAACCTTTTTTGCATTTAAGCTTCACCAAAGGCTGAAAGTCAAAGGTTAGACCATCTTACTGAACAAAAGTTGTATAAAAACACTTAGTCATTTTCAGATGAATGAGTTCACTGGGTTCATATATTCTTAAAAAGGCTCGTCCCAGAAAACGTCTGCTGCTCTAGTTGTTGGACTGAGTCTCAAAGGGGTGCTAATGTGGAGAGAGAGAGTTTGTATGTGCCCTTGACCTGTTCCCACCCACAGGAAGTCACGAGAGGGATGGTCCACCATATAAATGTGTCAGTGTGGTTATACCGGCCCCTTCCTTAACCTTCAATGGCCAGAAATATTGTTTTTTTTGCAGCGCAACAACACTGTACCAAGAACTGTCTCAGTTCAAGTAGAAGTATTACACTTTTGCTGCATAACTATTCTAAGCCATCAGATTTATTTTTCCATTTTGTTAGTGCTGCTGAGACTAATTATGTTTTGATAGGTAGATTGCAAGTGTAATTTCCCAAGCAGTCCATTTCCTAGATTGACAATGATGTCAGATTCCCAGTCATTGTGTGACAAGTATCCCAGTTTCAAAGGCCGAAAACATGGGCAATTACTTGCCTTTGTGAAAATGTCAAAGTGCTCCAAAGACCTGCCATAACAGGTTGCCTGCCCACACCATGGCAACCACGGTCGAGCCGGTCTCCATGAGGACCTGCGCCAACCTGCTTTACTTTTCTTTACTTTTCAAGTCAGCCTTGGAGACAGGGAGTGATTTTGAACGTTATCTATGGCTTGGCATTGCTTACATAAAGATCAAATAGAGAACAGGCTAGAATTGTTCCTGTTTTGGGCATAGAAGATAGTTTTATTAGAAATTATTATTATTGTTATAAATATTGTTAATATTATTGATATTGTAAATTATGATGATAATTTATGTATTATTGTTTGAAAGGTAATCGTGATATTCATTATAATAAGCAGTTTAATTTTTTAATTTAAATTGAAAGTTACATTTTTTTTAACTATTAATATTTTTATTTAAATCATCAGATATTCAAATTTATTTATAATATTTTACATGAACATGATTTTAACAACAATAATAATGGCTATTTTATTGTATTAACAATAATCATTTATATTATTTATAGTATAATGTTACATCATGAAAATGATGATAGTTTGTATTATCAGTAGTAGTAGCAGCAGTAGTAGTATTAAAGGGGTCATATGATGCGATTTCAATGTTTCCTTTCTCTTTGACGTGTTACAGGCTCTTGGTGCATAAACAAGATCTGTAAAGTTGCAAAGACTAAAGTCTCAAATCCAAAGAGATATTCTTTATAAAAGTTCAGAGTCAACCACACCTAGCTAAAATGGCTCGTTCTAACACGCCCCCACATGTCTACGTCACGATGTGGGAAGATTTGCATAACGCCGCCCAAATGTTCACGCAACGAAAGAAGGCGTAACTTATTCTCGCTGTAGTATTGTTGCTGCCTCCATGTCGTGAAGACGCTGTGTTTCGTTGTGAAAGCGAAACTACTTTGTTTGGTCTTCCAAAAGAGGATGATATCCGCTTCGTCATGCCTGGAGCTGATCCGTGCTGGTCGCTGAGGAAATACATCAACTTCGCACTGTGGAGTATGTGGAAAATAATGTGTTTTTTGAACCTTAAACCGCATAAACACATTTCATTACACCAGATACACAAAATAATGTTCTTTTTAGCAACATCATATGACCCCTTTAAGGGTAGTGGTGGATTTATTTATTTATTTGTTTGATTTTACATTAACAACAATAGCTATTTTTTATAGTTATTAATTTGTTGTTGTTGTAAATAACAATAATGATGTCAGTTTTAGTATTATAATAGTGCATTATAATATATAATAGTTTATGTATTATAATGTATTATATTTTACATAATTAAAAAGTTTTATAATATGTAATATTTTTAAACATTAAAGGCACAATATGTAAGATTTTTTTATTAAAATATCCAAAAAAACACTAGAACAGTGTTATATATTTTGCGGACTTGTGTACTTACATTATCCTAAATGTTTCGAAGAATGTTTAAATCCAGAGAAATAAGCAATTTTAACTAGTGACACAGACCGTGTCTATAGTGTCATTGTGTCACCTGCCAATGACGTCATAACCCCTCGATTTCCGGTTTTGTTTTGTAGAAAACATGGAAACCCCAAAGACGCTTTAATATGTTATGCGTTTTATTAGACCGGTGACGACCGCACAGAGTAGCATTAAAACAGAACTTTCAGATGTATCTAGTATGATAAAACAGCGCTGCTTTACGCCACATTTTTTACGCCTTTGTTTCTTTATTTATTTTGAATACGCGCCCTCTAGCGGCGAAAAATGACATATTGTGCCTTTAACATATTTATAGATTGTTTTACATTAACAGTGTGATTTTAACAATAATAAAAATAAGTTTATTTATAGTTATTATTATTACTATTAGTATGTAATTTTGAATGTGGAATGTATATTCCAATGCCTAAATAGTTCTGTTGTGTGAGATACACCGATGGTGTGGGTGTGTGTGATTGATTTCTGTGCCAGGGAGAAGTGAAAACAAGAATATGCCTGTGTGCTGCTGACCAACTCTAATCACTGTTATGCCGAGTTCAAACTGCACGATTTTAGCACCGATTTTCACTCGATTTTGAGAAATCTCAAAAGACTCGATCGACGCCCGTGAAATATTTGTCATGCTAAATATCTGGACCTGTCGGCGATTCAAAATCCTGCTGTGTGAAACGAGTTCTGACTGAAAAATACATCGGCGATGACCTACAGCCAATGAGAGAGCAAGGTACAGGGCTTCGGGGAGGAGTTATAGACCACAATATCAGCAAGCATGGCTTCGGTTCCGAGAAAGGCTCCTTCTCTGTCTATTTGGATCCAAGAAATGGAGGATAATTTTAATAACATTTTAACAACATTTCCAGTCTCGCGCGAGCGAGAGAACTCTGATCTCACTTTCCTTATCACTTCTCGCATGCGTTTGGTTATGAAACGTAGTTTGTGGACCAGACAGACGGTGCGTTCCAAACGGGATACATCGCCCTCCGAAGGGCACTTCGGAGTGAAAACAATACCGTATCGAGCAAGTTCCAAACCGAAGTGCTCAATACTGGCCACTTCAAAGGGCCCTTCGGAATGAAGGATTTCGAAGGGTACAACTGATGGACACTTCGGGCTACCCATGATCCTTTGCGCAGATTCTTTGTATGATGACGGCTCCTCCGTGTGGGCACGTGATGATGGGCACTTGAAGGGCACTTCAAGAAATAGTTGTTTGGTCCCCTGCACCCTTCAACACTTCGAAGCTCTCACTCTGGAGGGTAAACCCTTTGAACGGATTAGGGTATAGGGATGAGCCCTTCCGAATGGAACACAGGGAGAGTGGTTCGATTCTTCCTATTGTAAAGTCATGCAGTGTGTAACCTCTTGTCGCCGATCCATCATGCAATGTGAACACAGCAGCAACTGAATGCTACCCCAGATAGTCCTGCAGTGTGAAAACAACTGTGATCCGATGACTTGTGTGAACTCGGCATTAGAGGTTTTTGTTTACCTAAAGGCATAGATTCGCTGGGTCGTAAAGCAGCACATTTTGTAGTAGAGACGTGCAAACATGATTAATAATCTGAAATGATGTAAATTGTTGGTAATTTGGCATTTCTGATTGATGTGGGATTTACGGTGGACTCTAGGGGGCGATTGAGGCCCATTTTTATTTATTTATCTGTTTTCTGTCTCTTTTAAACCATGACAAATTTGGAAATGAATGGTTTGTGGTTTCTCCGATTTTATCGTCTCTTTTCTGTCAACATATTTGACTTTCATGATTCTGGTCAGCGCACAGTCAGCAGCAGTCTAAAATAAAGCTTGTGGAATTGCAGGCCTTTAGTTATCCGTTGCCCTCAGAATGTCATTGGTGGTGGTACGATCACGAGGCTTCTGCATATAACCTTTCATTTTCACTCAGATATATCTCGTTTGAACCCTTACCTTATTTATATCTCTCTCTTTCCCTCTATGTCTGTCTGTCTTCCTGTGCTGCTGCTGCTGTCTCAGGCTCAGGTGGCGTTTCTGCAGGGTGAGAGGAAAGGTCAGGAGAACATGAAGCAGGATCTGGTGCGGCGAATCAAGATGCTGGAATACGCTCTGAAACAGGAGAGGTGAGCCGACACACAGATGAGCCTCTTTAGCTCGCCGTATAGTGTGAAACCCCTGCTCAGTAAAAACACAATAGAACATTACAAAAAAGTGATAAAAAATGGATCGAAACAGTTACAACTTTAAATTTTAATTGGATGGGCCATGTTAAGCTGTTGTAAAATTTCCTTTTTTATGTTCTGTTTTTGTGTGTGTGTTTGTTTTCTGTTACTTTTGTTTTGTTATTTTTTGTTTTGTTACTTTACTGTTTTATATCTGTTTTGTTCTTTTGTTTTGCTATTTTCTGTTTTATGTCATTTTTCTGCTTTGTTCTTTTTTTGTTTTGCTACTTTTTTGTTTTGTTATTTTTCTGCTTTGTTCTTTTTTTTGTTTTGCTACTTTTCTGTTTTATGTTATTTTTCTGCTTTGTTATATTTTTGTTTTGTTACTTTTCTGTTTTGTTTTGCTGTTTTTCTGCTTTATTCTGTTTTTGGTTTGTAGTTTTGTGTTGTTGTTTTTTTTGTTCCGTATTTTTGTTTTGATCTTTGTTGTATTGTTTTTTTTTCGTTCTTTTTATGTTCTATTATGTATTTGTTTTGTTCTTTTTTGTATTGTTTTGTTCCATTTTTTTGCTTTATATTGGGTTTCTTTTTTGTGTTGCCTTGATTTTCTGCTTTCATTTTTTTCTGTTTAATTGTTTGAGAGAAGATGCTGTCCTGAAGCACATTGAGAGATCTGAGGATGTTTCCAAGAGTTTGTGTGTTAATCACTTATAATCTTGTCATTTTGATCCCAGGGCCAAACATCAGAAGCTGAAAAGTGGCACTGACCAGAGCCCTGGAGAGAAGAAACCAGAGACAGAAGCTGAACCAAGTAACAACACAAAAACTAACCTATTAAACATATGCACTTATGAAACTTGATGTGGTTCAAATTTACCAACACATGTTAATCATGCCCAGAACAAATACCGTATGCTGCTGGTTATATGTTTTCTTTGTGTTCAGTGACATCATTCTGTTTCTCACAGTACCCAATGGGCCTGCAGATTCAGATTCAGAACCAACCAATCAGATGCCTTGGAAGGAGGGCCGTCAGTTATTGCGCAAGTCAGTGTATTTTGTTTGCATTCATTTTCAGATTTATTTATCAAAAATATTGTGCTGACCCTGTGCATGTGGTGTTTTTGTGTGTGCACGTGAGTAGGTATCTGGAGGAGGTGGGATATTCTGACACCATCTTGGACATGCGTTCCAAACGTGTTCGTTCCCTGTTGGGTCGCAACAGCCCAGAGGCGAATGGGCCTCCTCCCAGCGAACCGCCCACAGAACCAGAACCTCACAGTGGAGGAGAGTCACTACTAGTGTGCCAGATAGAAGAGCAAATCAAACGGTTAGAGCAACACGCATTTTGACATATTAGTATTAAAGGGATAGTTCACCCAAAAATGAAAATTCTGTCATCTTTAGGAATTGAGGAATCTTAATCGATATTAAACAATCTCTTGTAAAATTAATTAAATTATCTCTTGTAAAAAAATAAATAAAAATCAATCAGTTTAACACCCATTTATTTGTTATTTATTTGTGTGATAAGTGGGATATTATGAAAACAGACTGAAACAATCCTAACTTAAATTTCTAATTGGATGAGCAATGTTTAAATCGGTTGTAAAATGTATTTTGGCTTTCTATGTTTTTTTTTTTTTTTTTTTTTTTTTACGATGGATAATTAAAACAAAATTTTGTGCTTTTTTTTTGTTTTGTTTTGTTCCTTTTTTGTTTTGTTATTGTTTGTTCTGTTTTGTTTTTTGTTGTATTTATTTTTTGTGCTTGATTCTTCTTTTGTTCTGTTTGTTTTGTTTTTGTAATGTTCTATTTTTTTGTTTTGTTCTGTTTTTTTGTTGTTGTTTTTTTTTTTTGCATTACAATGTAATTTTTTTTGTGTTGCTTTTATTTATTTATTTTTTTGTTTCATTTTAATTTTGTTTTATTTTACTTAGCAAATTTCCCACAGCTGAATGCTGCTATAAACACACACCTTTGACTGCACTTTGACTTGTGTTGCTTGGCAACTGCAGACAGCATTTTGTTAGGATAATGCAGTTTGTTTCTTGGCCGAGGGATTGTTTATTCCTTTAACTGTTCATAATAAATATAACTCCTAACTGAACATTGTGTACTTCATCATATTGCTGTTCCTAGCAGTTTAGGCAATCAATAATCCACAAGAGACTTGAAAGCGGTGTTCTAATTTCATATAAGTGTTTGCAAGGCCATTTTTGAAACTAAAGTTTTTGCAGTTATGCTTGTTGTGGTAATCATGAAGAAATATCTCTCCTGCAGACGTGCTGGAAAAGAGAGCTCTAAAGAACGGTTGGGAAGCTCTGTCCTGGATAAGATTCCTTTCCTTCGTGGCTGTGAGGACGACGATGAGGATGACAGTGATGAAGAGGAGGACTTCCAGGGCATGACTACAGACTGCATTGATGGACGCAAAAGCAAGAAGTCCAGGAGCAAGGTCAGAGTGTTTACATGAAGATAAGGTCTGCACGCACCGATCCTGTTTTGTTCCTAACAGCGTGTCGCCTTTACACATGTAGATGGGTGGAGAATCCATGACCACAGATCTTGACCCTGAGGATGACGATGATGAAGATGATTCTGAGGACGCTCTGGGTGAGTTTGATTTCTTGGGCTCAGGAGAGGAAGGCGAAGGGGCGGGAGAAGCTCGCATATCTGGAGACGGCCGTGAATTAGGTATGGAGGCCCATATGTTCAACATTTTTGGAAATATAGTCATGAGAAGTACTACTAGACAACTCGCCATTCCTGCATGCATTTTTGACAGTGGATGTGAGGGTTTCCCTTCCCTTTATTGTCATGCTGTGACCACTTACTGTTTTCTTTTAATTTGCTTTTGTTTGTAACTTCCTGTTGATGAAATCTGTTGACGGGACCTCCATTCGGTCCTCACGTCACTGCACGCTTGTTTGTTTCCCTGATATTCTTTTTACCTGAGTGACTGGCAGCAGTGGATTTTTATTTATTTTTCCCTGCTCTGTCTGCTGGTTTGTTTAGTCCTCTCACTTCCTCTGCCCAGGTTCAGAAAACCGCCGGAATAAGTTGCAAGGCATTATGTCAGATTTCCCGCCCAAACCCACTCCACCTCCTTCTATCCCAGGCCAGACACGCTCCGGAGAGGGTAAGATTAACCATCCGGCTCTCTGAATGCACCCCCTAATCCTAAACTGATCACTTTTAGATCATAAAAACAATCAGCAGTAAGGGGCGTGTCTACTCATGATGTGGAGGAGAGAACGATCGGACGCCGAGGTTGCTGTGTTTCTTCTCGATAGTTGAGTAACACAGTGTCTGCGCCACAACAGCTAAAGTCTGTCTAGTACACTGGACGCGACAAAGCGACCGCTGAAAATCATTTGAAATTTGTGTCAATACGTCATAAATAGAACGCAGCAGCAGTTTGCTCAACCATTACTTTTTTAATGCATTGATACATAAAAATTTAGTTAAAAATTATTTTTTTTCCCCACATTGTAGATTATATTATATTAAAGTGTTTTATACTGATTTAATTTTATATTATATTATATTATATTATATTATATTATATGTTATCTCACTGAAATTATTGAACCATTTTTCATTTTATTTGTCAGTATAACGAATGCAAATATTCTTTCTTAAAAATGTCAAATGCATAGCAGAAAGTTGATTGATGATGCATGTTGCTCAGTTGGCTTTTGAATCTATCTGTCTGTCTATTTTATTTATTTATTTTATTTATTTAAAGCGAGGTAACATTCAGCCAAACCATCTTTGTTGCCAAGAAGATTACAAATATTTAATGTACTAAGTAAAATAAAAATGTGGGCATTTTTCCTCATTGTATATTATAATATATTATATTTACACAATTTGAAAGTTATAATCGTTTTTATCAGTATAGCAGTGATTATTAAAGATGCAATATGTAAGATTTTTTTATTAAAATATCCAAAAACCACTAGAACAGTGTTATATATTTTGCTGACTTGTGTACTTACATTATCCCAAATGTTTCGAAGAATGTTTAAATCCAGAGAAATAA